ATATATATATATATATATATATATGTATATATATATATATATATATATATATATATATATATAGGTGTTTGGATGTATGTTATATGAATGTGTGTTTATGGGTATATACATGTCACATGTAGTCCGTTAATTAGTTAGCTGATCACTTTGTATGATGGCTGTGTAAACCCTGTTGTCTACACTTACAACTGCAGTATATAATGTACAGGCTATTAATGTTCCCTGTTTGTTTAAAGCAAAAAATAAATAAATTACTGTATGAGGACTTGGAGGTTAGCTATTCAAACATCACTCTATGGATTATCTAATTTTGTCTTCTTGTAGTTTGAATCCATACAGCTATGATGAAACCTGCGTGTCCAGCAGTGTGGATCATTTGCCACTGGCTTCCCTTCCCATTCTGGCCATCGCTGCCCCTCATTACCAGAATGCTGTAGCAGCGGTCGTTGCTCAGGCCAATCAAGTTTACAAAAACTTCCTTCAGTCAACAGAAGGTGTGGGCTTCACAGGACAGGTAAACATATGGGTTATTGGTGGATAACACTGCTAATTTAATAACACTGTTAAATGATCTTAAAATTAATATATAATTTTCCCACAGGACATTATAATGTTACAAACCTAAATTCACTTGTTGCATTTAAAACAATCTATTAAAGTGTTTTACATTTATTTAGTCTAGATAGTATAGAATTTTAATATGAGCTATTTCTAGGTTATCTGCCTTAACATAAAAATAATTATAGGTTCATCAATAAAGACAAACATATTTATCAGTTTTACCTTCAGAATGATATCACCAGCCTGATGATGTGCTGCAGGAGTCAAGAATAAAGAATAAAGTCAATAATTCAACTAAACTGGTCTTAAAAATAAAGCTTCAGCATGCAATGGAAGGAATAGTTCACTCAAAAAAAGATAATTTGTTGAAAATTTACTCACCTTCAGGCCATTCAAGATGTAGATAGTTTGTTTTTTCATCCGAAGAGATTTGAAGAAATTTAGCATTACATTACTTTCTCACCAATGGATTCTCTGCACTGAATCAGACTCCTATAACACAACACTGTTTGAAAACTCATGTGCATTATACTGTAAAGTAAAAGCACCATGCACAGACAACCAATATGTACATAACTCATCAACAAACAAAATCTTTAAACTTTTCAGGTTTTTTTTAACCATGCGGCCACTACGGGTCAGTTGAGGTGCATTCGCTGAAGGCAATATAGCCCTGTCCGGAACCTTTTAGGACCACTGAAATGTGGCACAATGTTAGCTTCAGACAACAAAGCAGTTGGATTTGAACAGTCAGCCCTTGCATTAGTAGTAGTCTGTTTTTTAGGGTGTGTTCACACTTGTCATGTTTGGTTCAATTAAAACGAACTCCTGTGCGATTGCTCTGTTAGTGCGGTTCGTTTGAGTAAGTGTGAACGCTGCCATCCGAACCCAGGTGCACACCAAACAAGCGGACTGAGACTGCTAAAAAGATGGGTCTTGTCCACTTCCAAACAAACTCTGGTGTTCGAATGAAATATGAACGCAATATGGATGAAATACTTCTAAACGAACCAAAAACAGGAAGTAATGACAAGATGCGACGCTATGCAACATGATTTGATGACACGGTGTAACCAAACAGTCATTCTTGAGAAGTGGGACAAAACAGGGTGCAAAATTGAAAAAATAAAACCTTGTACTCAGACAAATGAAACTACATTTATGTATCTTATATGTACTAAGCTATGCTTTGATACAACCTCCCAATTTTTCTCTTTTTTAACAAAATTTGCTTTTTTAGCTTGGACTGTGTAATCTAATTTCAGCTTTCTTTAACAGCATTCAAGATGTTTGTAACAGTTCAAAACACATTCTCATGTTAGCAGACAGATTACACTTTCACATGTAACCAACAATTCCACAACTAATATAAAATATCATAATGAAATATTATCAAAATATTAAACTGACGGAGGTGACAGAACTAACGGAGTTGACACATCTGACGGAGGTGACGAAAACCTGAATTTGTAGTCATTTTACCTATCAAATACATTAAATCAGTCAATTACTGTATTAAAACAAACAGTATGTTATTGTTTATAAAGCTTTTATTCAAGAGTCACATTTAAGTATTTTGATGTATCATTGGAACACAAAATCTTATGATGGTGACATCTGACGGTGTTGACAAATTTGGCATTTCTTTCACAAAACCAATGGAGTTCATGTAGTAGCCATTTTATTTGTTTCTGTTGATGCTAGATGCTAATGGAACCTTTATTGAATGTCTGACGGTGTTGACAAAAAGTGGGGACGCAACTTTAAAATAGTATTAAACATGCATGTGTCATTAAATAACAACCTTGCTTTGATATGAGATATTAAGTGTTGCTTTTGATAAAACAAGCTCTTTTTCATCATTAAAAAAACATTTTTATCCATTTTATTGCATATGAACGATTGAACCCTTCTCTGTGGACACAGTTTTAGATGTAGTGAGAGGACATTAAGAAACACAGATTTGGTATAATAATGAGAAAATTAAATTGAAGGTGATAATTGTGTTAAATACATTCTATTATTAATCCCTCATGACATTTAAAATGGAAAATATTTGTATTTTTAAAGCTAATAGCAGTTACCCTTGCTGGACCTGTTTTGTCCCATGTCTCAAGAATGACTGCAAAACAAAATGAGCAGAGGGCAAACGTGGAGCAATGATGAGGTAAAGTACCTTTTATGATCTCCTTGTGAGTTTGCAGGTGGTGAAATAAAATGATATGTGCACACAAGAATGAGCGCGCTTAGTCCAGCAGACGGCATTAGGAGTGTTCGACTTAAAGCGGGGCTGAGCAGACCGATCGGTTAATGGATGCTTTGATATCATACACCGGCATTGTCTAACACACCTTTTGTTTGGGGTGTTCGGTAAGTTCCGTCACAATATATACGTCATTCAAGCCGACCAATCAGGTTGTGAATGTATCACTATGCCTTTAGGTTCGGTGTCTTTAGGTTTGTTGTCAAAAATGCCAATGTGAACGCTAAGCGGACCAGGACCAAATGTATATTTTTCCTTTTTGGTCCGGACCAAATGAATCAAACGAACCGAACTACAAGTGTGAACACTATGGCGGCAATTCTATGTAGGGCTGCACGATTAATCGCACGCGATATTTAATGCGCATCTGCGCGTTAAATATCGCATGCGATTTATCGTGCAGCCCTAATTCTATGCCATTAATAACCCAGCGCACCACTGATGCTGGCGTGCGCGGTAAAGCAATTCCGCGAGAGGAAAACAGATTTACACACGAGGAAACGGGAGCCCGCCAGCTCATTTCAAACCCTCGCGCGCGCCTGACGTCCTCTGCGCAATACAAGCCCTCGCGCGCCATGATCATTCCCCACATCCTCGCGCTCGATCTTCCCTCACCTGCTGGCGCTAACACTTTTATTTTTGTCAGTCGTGGGGCGGAGCTTGCTGTTTTAATTGTAACCTAAAATGTCATTGGTTATTCCTCTTTTCCGGAAGTCAGTTTTGGACGCCTGTTATAAGATGATTTATAATTCTCTTGACTTAAGACATGGCACCAGTGGACCAGATACATGTGAGTTATCATTTCATTTGCTTGTTTTATTAATTTATTTTGTCTTTATTTAATGTAATTTAATGCATTGTTCATAGAGTAGATCTTTTTCAGATACTTTATTAATAGGAAGTCTTCAGTTTACTAATGATTGCAGTCTCCTGATGATAAGAGATACACATATGAACCCTTTTTAAAGACTGTAATGATGCACGCACACACACACACAGGCTATATATAAAGCTATAGGAATGACAGTAAAGTTTTCAAAATGTTTTATCTTTAATCTTGTAAATAGATACAAGCTTGTAATACATTCAGTTCCAATGTATATATATTTGTGTTCTTTTTGTTGCATTATTCTTTTTTCCTTTGTATTTGCAGGTTGTGTACTTGAATGCAGCAAATAACAACCCCCCAGAGGAAAGTAAAAGCATTTGAATTTTAGGGTTTGAAATGAGGGTTTGAAATTAGCTTGCGCTGAAATTTCATTTAGGCCTAAATTTAGTAACTTAAGTAATCTGTAGGTAGCTTTTCAATGTCACTTTTAAGTTAAAAATATCTTTGTTTATTAATAAATAACTGATCTGTTTTTAAACATAAATTTATTTCAATTTTTACTGTTTCTATAGGATTGAATGCATTTGGTGTGATGTCAGAATCATGGTGACCAACAAGTAGACATGCTGCACTCGCTGGAAGCATAACGATTGCTTGACATATCAGTGGTCGAGATCCTTTTCAGTGTGCACTTCACTTTTCTCCCAAGAGTTCAGGCAGACTTGGACACATTTCTAGAAGCCTGGAATCATCCACTCTCCTCAGAAGGCAATCGAAGTTCAGAGCACCTGTGGCGCATTGGACTGATACACACAAAATTTATCAATCCGAGAGATATGAGGTATGGAGAATCTCCTTTCTTTACTCTGTCACCACACTGCTGTTTGTGCATTAGGCTAAGTGGATTTTTAACTATGTATTTAACTGCTAAATCATTAGGACATTGAAGAGCCAGATCTAGATGGTGACATATCAGTTTCTTATGATGCCTGTGAAGATTTCAGAGCTATTCAAGAATTTGAATCACCTTTGAGTTTGGATGGGTTGAGGGCACTCAAACACCTTCTGAATTAAACTGGTCCTAATATCCCTGTTAAAGAACTGTATTTGCTTTGTCAGTTTTTTTTCTTCAACAAATATGGGGTAAATACATTAAAAAAATCACTGCTATGTCCCAGTCTAGATATGGCTCGTTGATGTCCTAAAGATTTAGCACTTAAATACATCATTAAAATCTATTTAGATTATTTCATAAACAGCAGTGTGGTGACAGGGTAACTAAAGCAGGGTCACCATACCTTGTGTGTGTGTGCGTGCATCATTACATATGTGTTCATATGTGTATCTCTTATCATCAGAAGACTGCAATCATTAGTAAACAGAAGACTTCCTATTAATAAACTATCTGAAAAAGATCTACTCTATGAACAATGGATTAAATTACATTAAATAAAGGCAAAATAAATGAATAAAACAAGCAAATGAAACGATAACTCACATGTATCTGGTCCACTGGTGCCATGTCTTAAGTCAAGATAATTATAAATCATCTTATAGCAGCCGTCCAAAACTGACTTCCGGAAAAGAGGAATAACCAATGACATTTGAGGTTACAATTAAAACAGCAAGCTCCGCCCCACGACTGACAAAAAAAAAAGCGTTCGCACGAGCAGGTGAGGGAAGATCGAGCGCGAGGATGTGGGGAATGATCATGCGTGCGCGAGGGCTTGTATTGCGCGCAGAGGACGTCACGCGCGCGCGAGGGTTTGAAATGAGCTTGCGGGCTCCCGTTTCCTCGTGTGTAAATCTGTTTTCCTCTCACGGAATTGCTTTACCGCGCGCGCCAGCATCAGTGGTGCGC